CACACTACTGTAATGCGGCGACCTCTGGGGTGGAGGATGGCAGCCAGGCATTATATAACACACACCTGCACTTTGGTGGTGGGAGAAGTGATGGGGGGGGGGGGGGGAGGGAATCCCAACTCTTCAGAAAAGTATCTGGGATCTTTAATGTCTACACAGCATACACAAGACCTTGAGTTTGCAACTTGTCTGAATGTCATTGAAATCAATTTACCTCTTTTTTTTTTTTATTTCTAAGGTAGCAGTAAACAAATAACTGAAGGAGGTGGCAAGCAGCCCAGGCAGTCTGAATAGACCCCATATAACATGGCACATCCTGAGTTTTACGTTGCTCCCATTTAAATGGCCTGTACTCTGGAAACAGCTGGGGAGAGCAGGGGCTCTGTGCCTGACACCCACCAAAAGCAAGTCGTGGCCCGCGCAGAGCCGAGTGGGTGGAAGGAGAGGAGCGTGTTGTGCCTTGAACAGGGCTGTGGCAAAGTACTCCCCCCACCCCCATGCACAGTTCCTCCTGGCCTATCCTGGGGAACATGCAGCGTACAGCGTGCACTGCCCCTTACTCTGGGCTGAGCCTAATGGCTCCATCCAGCCCACCAGAAATATGTTCTAAGCCGCTGTTTTCATTGGCAATGAAGGGCCCGACTCAGGGAGGTTACACAGCACCTTCGATAATCCTGCCACTTCAGGACTGCATCCTAAGGGCCTAAGTATTTCCGACTTCGTGGTTCCCTGCTGCCATATCCCTGTTCAATCATCACAGCTGCAGCTGCGTAAATATCATGCCTGACCTAGCAGAATGCAGTCCAAGGGAACTGCCATGGAAATCAAGGGGGCTTTTGCCCAAGCGAGGACTGCGGGATCAGACTCATTAGGGTTTCTATAGATATATATAGTTCTATAAGATGTACGGAATTTACCAGAAAGTATCGAAAGTGGGAGGCAGTCCCTTAGTAACGCAGCACTTTCCCGTCTGCATTCATCAAGCCAAGGGCCGACGAAGTTCTTGCGGGATGAAATATTTAATTTCCTTTGTTCTCTAACCCACTCCAATAAAATCACCAGGCTCCCCTGTGCGTGTAATGAAGCAAACCCTTCCCTTATTACCCTTTCAGCAAACCTAACACTCCTGCTCATCCTAGTGTGACACAGTTCCTGCCTGCCCTGCTGCATGCTTCTGAGAAAAGGTGGAGAGGGTTGGACTAATTCCATTTACTCTAAACTCTGATCGATACTGGAGGAGAGGAGAGGAGAGGAGTCTTGCTGTTTAAAAACTATTGTTTTGTAAAATCTGGTCAACTCCTTTCCAGATGTCAAACTTTTTAAGGGGTAAAATGCAAATTGCGTGTAAAAAAGAAAGTGGTGGATCAATCTCTTGTAAAATAGGGAAACCGATCCAACAAGAATTTGAAAAAAAATGAATCATTTTTCTTCTAGGAAAGAAAATGTATTTGGGTATATCCCAGTTTGTCTCGAGGTGCATGTTTTTGAGTCAGGACCTCAAAAGTCCTTCTAAATAAACACATGAATGAATATAAAGTTTCCAGAAAGACTTAAATCCAGCAACACTATCGTGACAAACATCCAACCCCGACTGGCCAGACAGGGAATGAGTCCAACTTGCTCCACATTTTGTTCTCTCGCTAATGATACACCATAGCCAAGTCAGACAGAAAAACACCAAAAACGCCACCTTCCCTTTTCTACAACAATCTGTCAGGATAACAACAGTTCACATGCAGGGGGTGCTGGAATAATTTTTATAGTGGGGGTGCCGAGAGCCGTTGAACCAAACTGTAAACCCTGTCTAGGATGGAAACCACTTCAAGCCAGGGGGTGCAGCAGCACCCCTAGATCCAGCACCTATGTTCACCTGTGGTCCAGTCATTAACGCCTTGCTCAGGCAATCCTTGCATTGACGTCAATGGGAGTTTTTTTGCCTGAGCCGAGAGTCTAGCCTCCATCCCATGGAATCTCTGGGACAACACAGTTGAGGAATATACAGTAGAAAAACAGAATGTAACTATTCTTGAAAGTGAACTCATACAGTCAAGGAAAACAACAGAGATTCTTCAGTTTCACAAACTCTTATTATGGGATAGGAGATTATTTTTAAATGCACTGCAACTCATTTATTTTGACAGTTGTTTTACTACTTACATAAATAGGCCAAATATGTTTTCTCATATTCTTCTTCTTGACAGAAAGTGATTCACTTTCTTCTGTAGTCCTGTTTTAACTTCACGATCCCCTTTTCTGTTTTCCACTTTATCATTCCCCCCCACTACTACTTCCACTTTTTTGTTTCACCTGCATTGCCTTTATAGGCTTTTTTCCCGTTTGGGCTTTTTTCCTATCTTCCTTTCTCTTCTTGTTAGTGCTGTATTTTTTTCATGTGATAGGATTTATTCCCTGCTCTACATTAATTTTCAGATCCTCAAAATATTTTAGGCTCCTGTGGAAAGCTAATTTCTATTAGCAATTCACTTTTAATGGAAATCCACTTTTTCCTTTTGCAGCTACACAAAAGCTAGTGATTACGTTACATTCCCCACTTTTTTTTCCTAATGTGGAGAAGTTCTAAAGGAAACAGGGTGGCAAAACTAAATATATGTCCACAGCCTACTAGAAGAGTTGCAATAAAAAAAGAACATAATATAAAAATCTAGCTATATCATCATCACCGTATTTCACTCAACCAACAAAGCATGGGGCCATTCAATGTTGCATCAACATCAGATTGCTATCTATATTGCCTTCAGATGATTTGTGGTACAGATATTCATTTCTCCCTCCTCATGCACCAATGACTAACAGAAGCTTTGTGGTGTGACCGGACTGAATGAATGTTGTTTACTCAGTAGGTCCTGAAATCTTGCTGGTTTATACTGATGCTTTGTAAATGCAAAACAGAATCAGGTCCAAAACTACAGTGCCAATAAACTTAATTAAATAACAGGGGGGAAAAAAGCAGGGAGACATTCCAGATAGTCATGTCCCATTATCTCTCTACTCAGACTGCTTCAGGAAGAAAGTCAGCTGCGTTTGACTGAAATGCATTCTGTGCCTGTGGGAATTAACTGCCCTCCAAAACACAAATTGCTGTATTGGTCTGTAATCTGACAGACGGAGAACTAGCAGATAAATCCACCATAACTGTAAGAGTCAATAACACTTCTTTTAATTCACTGCAGTATTGTACCTCCTGATTTAGACTCCAGATGAGGTGTTCTTTCCTATTCTTTTGTCTGGAAGTGCTATATACTGCTGTATTGTAGTGACGCATTCACAAAGGTATAGTTAATGTTGTGTCAGCACTTCCATTGTAAAGCTCTATTTTCATATATTCTTCAGTTGGTAATTAGTAATATATTTGTAACTTGTCCATAAACATTTACTACAGGCTGAAACTTAGAATATAAGTTTCTAGTTTGATTCTGAAGTGCTTTACAACAGAGAAGTAAAGAGCGAGAGCATGTGTGTGTATATATAAAAATACGACAGTGCAAACACATACATTTATGTTAATTCTTTTGAACATAGTTACATGCTACATGTAACTCACACACCACTTTGAATTAAGTAAAATATAAATTTAACAAGTACATATTTAACAGTACAGTCAAATATCCTGTATTTTTTAGGGTGTGTGTGTGTGGGGGGGAAATCTTTAAATGGCCAAGATTCCAAACTTTACAATCTGGACACTGCATAAACAGAATATCTAATCTTCAGATGCATCTTTGCAAAGATTCGTATGTATCTGAATGTACATTGGAGTGCAATGCATCTGAAGAAAACATCTTTATTATGAGTGGGTAAATTAAACCTGTGTTTAAAAAACATTTATAAGTTTATACTCCCCCAACAACTTGACCAGCCACAGGGTAAATATTTCCTTTGCAATGTAACATACGTATATACGCAACCAATGCATTTCAATTGCTCTTAAATTTATCAGAACTTTTGTGGGCCTTAATGTTATTTAAATACAGGCATTTTTATGCATTTGATCATTTCCATCAGGGCTATGGCCAGTGACGTTTTTCAAAACCCAACTCCGCAGGTGCAATAATCGGTCAAGGAATTATGCAAAAATCATCCGTGGTGCAGTTTTTAATGACTGTTTTTGAAAAGAAAACAAGTGAGCCGAATTTGATGCGGCGCATGGTTTGTTATGGTTAGGCATCAAAGCTGCACTGAGATGGCTGGGACTCCTCCAGCAGGGACACAAAAGCTTTGATGCCATAATTGGCGCTCACAGCAGTACACGCACGGTAAGCAACTGGGGCAAAGTAACCTTTGCTTAGATCTCTCTTAGATCAATGGTTGGACTGCTTCCCTGAGATGGGCCCGGCTGAATCCCCTTGGAAAAGGAAGGCTAGGGAGAAAGGCAGAGGGGGTGAAAGGGAATGGGATCATGGCCTGGGTCCCTCTCTCTCATTATTATTAGCAATATTATGACAGCGTTTAAAAAGCTGAAGGGGCCCTGGCCATCTCTGCGGTTACATACGGCAGAGGGGAAAGGCAGACAGCTGGGGACATGGGCCATCGGACTGGAAGCAGGGCTGGTCCATTTCCAATGTCACCACCCCTGGGGCAGCAGGAGCCGGCGCAGCGAGGAGGGAGCTGAGATGGGCTCTTGGGACCCCAGGCTCCCTGACTTTCCCATCTTCCCCGCTGCCCCTTTCCACCCTCCCGCTCTGCCTCGGCCTGGCTGCTGCAGGCAAGGGGCGCGCCGGGAGCCGGGGGAGGCGGTGTGAGCCCAGCCGCCTCCCCACTCCCTGACCCCCTGGGCAAGGGGGCCCCCGGCTGGGCCCCTCCCGAGCCCCCTGCAGCAGCAGCAGCTGCACGATGCTCCCAGCACTGGCCCAGCCACCCAGCCTGGTCGCCACCTCCTGCCCTGCTGGCCCCGACTCAGGGGGTGCCAGGCAGACCCTGCCCGAGGCCAGGGCAGTGCCCCCGGCTCCCCGGCCCTGCCCCCCCCCCAGCCCAGCCCGCACCTTCTGCTGCCGGCGGGCCATGTCGGTGGGCTGCTTGGCGTTGAAGGGGTAGGCGATGCAGCGCATCACGAAGACGTAGAGCTGCAGCCGGCGCTTCCGCTCCTCCTCCTCCTTCTGCAGCCGCTCGAGCTCTTCCTTCTCCTTCTCGCTCGCCA